AGTAGAAACTGCAAACTTTTAGAACCTAGCCTTAATACTCACATACCATCACTTCTACCATATTCTTTTGTTCACATAGGTTAGCCTGGATTGAGTGTGGGAGAACACTATACAAAAGCATGACTACTAGGAGATAATAACCATTAGAAGACAGGATGGAGGATGGATACCAGAGTGCATAGTGCAAGAATTTTATGGGAAGATGTTTCCAGGAAGACAGGAGAGTAAGTGTGAGGGCAGAGTGAAAGGCTAGCTAGAGCACAGTAATCGGGAAATGATGTGGTAGAAGGGGGTAGATCCTTCAGGGCCTTGAGCAACATGGCAAGAGGAAGTGGTTGTGTTGAGAATGCAAAGACTATTGAGAGAAGTGATGTTATTGGATCGATGTTTTTAAAATATCTAGCTTCTGAGTAGAGAATTGATTTCATGGAGCAAGAAGGGAAGAGGGATATTAGGTAGGACATCATTACTGTGTCTTGGGTGAGAAATCATTGAGGCTGGAGCTAGAGTGGTAGTGGTGGAAGTGATGAGAAGCATTCAGATTATAGACACACTACCAAGATGGAGCCAGCAAGGCTCGCTGATGGATTAGATGTGGGGCAGAGAGAAAATGGGGGGTCATGGATGTCTTAAGTGTTTTCCCTGAGTGAACTTAGGGATGATAGAGGAGGCACAGGTGTGGGGGTTAGGTAATGGTGAATGGAGTTCTCTCCACTCATTCTGGACATACTTAGTTTGAGAGGTCTATTTGACATCCAAGTCTAGCTATCAACATTATACTAACCAGAAAATTCTTGGTAATGCCTCATTATACATTTTGATGAATAATTAAGGACTATAACAATTTTACAGTATGACTGCACTAGGTGAGCACTCAATTTAGAAAATAAAATATCATGTGAACTACATTTGCAGTGTAGTTATTCATAACTGTGGGCTAATTTTTCTGCATAAGTAAAAGTTCAAAACTAGTTTTATTTGTAGTTTGTTTTTTCAACTTAAAATTTAAAATATTATAGTTTATGTTGGCCAAAATGTTTTAGACAAATTTTATAAATGTTATATTTATGTATTTAATATTTTATAAATATTAAATGTCAGTGAAAGTTCAGATTTCTGCAGGTTTTTCTGATCAAAACAGGCACTCAAAGTGTATTATGCTACACTCATTACTTCTGTAGCATGGAATTTAAGTATTACACAAAAGTTTTTCATATTTTTATTTCTCTTGAAGAAGTGGAGTTGTTTTGCTCTGAAAATAGTAAAATTAATAAATCAAGTAATATAGAGTTAAATATTGGAAAAAAATGAAATAACTAAAAGTCTCCTTTGCTACTTGTCATTTGCTCTGTCAATCCATAATCTCCCCAAAGAGGAACCTCTGCTAAGAGCTTAATAAATTCTCTTCCAGATTGTCTTCTGCACACACACACACACACACACACACACCACGCACATATATAGAGTTCTTTTTTAAAACAAAAATATATGAAACTTGCTCTTTTGATTAATAAATTATCTTTGGAGATCTTTCCCTGTCATTGTTAAACATATTGTATAGTACCTTATGGTTGATTTAACTGTTTCTTTGTTGATGTATATTTAGGATTTTTAGAGTGTTTATTGTTGCAATGCTAAACTGGACATCACTGGACATATGTATATTTATGCTAATATGCAATTATTTCTAATAGAACAGATTATAGAAACACATTTCTGAGTCAGAAGATAGGTATACCATTCATTTTAATGGGTGCTGTTAATTCGTCCACCCAGAACTAGATACCAATTCATTTTTACACCAAGTACCCTTTTTTCTGGTTCTAAATCCATACTTGCTATTAACAGTATTTGCTTTTTTTTCATTTCTACATTCTAAGAAGAAAAACTTTTATATTGTTTTCATTTCCATTTTCCTCAATACTTATCATTGACCTTATTTTTCTTTTTTAGTTATTCTAGAAAGATTCAATAAATTGTTTTATGTAGAAAGTGAAGACAAGTAAAATATTTTAATGCAATTTCATTAATGGAAAAGAGTTGGGAGGTAGAAGGTAAAGTGTGTGGGGAAGAGTGGCCTAATACGATATGATGGAACAAGGCAGAATTTAGAGAGAAGGCAAACAAAGTGTGGAGGTGGAGGCTGCCGTCTGGGGTTATAGGCAGAAGTAAAGTCAATGCAAGGTTTGGAAAGTGGGTTTGGAAAAAGATAATCTAACAACTGAGGAACTGGAGGTCCTGTCTTAGAGGGGACACCAGTCCCTTGCCCTCACTGGCAAGAACTGAGGAGCATGCAGAACTGGATGGGTTCTCTCCCTTGTTCTCCAGGGGCTGCATTACTCTGGCTCTCAAAGGCATTTTTACCTGCAAGAGTCCACAAGTAGGAAAAATTTCAAAGTGTCAGGCTGATGTAGGTTCCAGATTATGGATGGAGATTGGATCAAAAATTCTTTCTGTTATGAGATTGGGTAGACTCATTACACTGGATTTATAAAAGTGCATGTATTTCTTAGCTTTCTATACTCTTTATGAAGAATTGTAAAATTAAAATTATAAGAATATACAGTTCACCTGGAACCAGGTTATCTCAATGAAGCAGACTACAAAGAGAGTACATTTTTGGTCTTTGTTGTTTAAAAGTAAAACTAAAACAGACTTGGCACCTTTTGTACCACTTTTACTTTACATAGGTGTAAACACAGTATCTGTAGAAATGCTTGAGTAGTTTAAGTCATATCATCTTTGAAGGATTACTTCACTGTTAAAGCACTTTCTCTTTGATTTAAAAAAAAATCATTTGTTTTAAAATGCATGATTGCAACTAGGTTAATTATGTCATTAGTATGTGATTTTTTTAAAAAAAATGGTAATTCCAGGATATAGATACCAATAATTTTCTACTTTAAAACTTAGGTCTTACTGTTCTTTAAATGTTATGGGGACTAATTTGAGGTACATCTAGGTTTATGCCTTAATGAATAATGTTCATTGTAAAAGAAAATCAAGGGAACAAACTGAGAATTACTTTACCTTAGATTTTATGGGTATTCCTTTCCCATGGTTAACTGTATAACCTTACTGGAAAATGAATATTAGTTAGCAGTAGAGATACAAAGTTAGTTATTATAGCTTGAATTATTCATTAAACCATTGAAATAGATGAATATAGGATAACATTGGATTATTTTTTAACATTAGTCCTTTTCATGTAGGTAACTGGGCAAACTTCTGTAAATACTTCAGATTCTAAAAAGAGAAGAAATTTATCCAGCTACTCATTTCGCTTACTCATTCATTCCCAGTGTATTATCCCCCTAAAACACACATTTAGGGAGTAAATACTTAATATGTGTTATTATTATCTAATATCTAATATTATGAAAACATATTATAGATAATAACAACTGGTATAAAGTACTTATCCCAAATCAGCATTGTTCTAAGCTCCTTAGCTATAGTGACACCTTTAATTCTCATAAGAACCTTCTGGATAGATACCATTGTTATCATCCTCATTTATACTTAAGCAATGAGAATAATGGAAAATGAAGTAATCTGCTTAGTCTTACTACTAGTAATGGATGCATGTAGGCTTTTAACCCAGGAAGATGAGCTCCAGGCAGTCAAACTCTTAACATGCTTAATCATGAAGGTGGTCTGTCTTAAGTATATCTGTACTGCTTCTGTAGAGACAGTAGATGAGAGTCTTAAACAACCTATAAACGGACTCCAAGCTAACAAACATTTAAATTATGTGTGACCTGTTTGTATAGTGAATGCTTTGCATTACCTCATATACCACTTAAAAGTCAACATATAAAGGCATTCTAAATCAGTTATCATTTAGCCATTGTTATTAGCATAGATTCCAGGGTTTGGCAGACCTCTTCTGTTAAGGGCCTGATAATGAATATCTGGTCACATTCTGTATCTTGCATATTCTTATTTTTTCCTTTACATATATTTTTACAAGCCTTTACAAATGAAAAAAAAAAACATTCTCAGGTGTTAGGCTGTATCGAAAACAAGCTTCTGGCCCAGTTTGGTTCATGGACTGTATTTTGCCTGTCCCTTGCATAGGCTCATTGAGGCCCATAGATTAGATTCTCCTCTCTGCCTGAGAAAATGCCTCTTTTTATGTATCTTAAGACATTTTGCCTTCCAGAGATGATCTGCAGGTCTCCACCTGCCTCTCACTGAAAGTTTGATACCTTTTCTAAACACTGAAGGTATCAGAAAATGGTGAGCTCCTGAGTCTATAGGGGTACGAGGCAAAAGTTACAGAATAAAATTTACAGAGCTCTGAGTAGTCTCAAACCAAATATTGTTCTGGAATTCTGCTCTCCATGATGCTTTAAACAAGCATTTAAAATCCTGGGTTCCAGGAGTCCTCTATAGCAGACATACATAGTTTCTATAGAGCTTTTCTCACCTATACTTTGCTCACTTTGAGTTATATATATATTTTTGTTCTAGAGTGTCTTTGCTGTCACTAAAACAACCTTGAAAACAGGCTTCTTGTGCAATAAAGTAGAATATGTGTTTTAGTAGTTTCAAATGGTAATGATGTATGTTTCTGAGCATTTCAGTTAGAGATAACTGTTTGGGGACTGGGAGAAGCAGTTTATCCAGTCAGTGATGATCTGGGTAAAAGGGTGCTGTATATTAACCAGAAACTTTGAAAATGGAGCAGCTGCATAGAAATTTATCTTTTTAAGAAAATTTTCCTGTTTTATATGTTTAAGTGAACATTGTGTGAGCAGAGATTTTATCTTTCTTCTGAAGTTCCCTTATAAGAGCAAAATCACCAAGTATTGAAAGGAAAGAAATTTCTTCTTAGGTTTAAAGATTGCTAATTTTTCAGCTGGATGAATCTTATATCATGAATCTTTCTTAATAATTATGTATATCTGGAGTAGATGGTCTTCCTAAAGAATATTCTCGAATTATATACTTTAAAATAATCTAACTTGATTATGTTCTTTCTTTTTTCTTTTCAGAAAGTATCTGTATGTCACATCTTCTTTTAAAGGAGCATTTAAGAATGAAGTTAAAAAGGCAGAAGAAGAAGTAAAGATTGGTATGTAATTACCTATGGCCCATGTCATATTGTTCATTCATTTAGCAAATACTAATTGTGCACTTATTCTACGACATACACTGTTCTAGGCATTGTAGGAATAACTGCAGTTATTCAAATGTAGTTCTTGCCTCTAAAGAACTTCATAATACATTGTTTACATCTCTGTTTTTTTAAATTATGTTATCTTTTTATAATATATATTGTAATTTTTTATTATTTATTTTTATTCCAAGTACACAGTTGGAATGAGATTGATATGTATTAGAAACCCTAGTTCTCATGATGCTGAGTTAGATCATTTTAGAGACTAGTGTTGCATTCACGTGAAGAAGGATTCACTTAAATGATTCCACACTCTCTTCTCCACCAGCAAGGACAAAGCCACCCATTCCAGTGACCAGGAGGGAGGAGTAGCCCCATAAACATATTTCATGGATTTTAGAGAGTTTCAGTCAGCCATTCAGTCATGATTTTTGAGTTTGTATGTATATATTTATGCCCTATAAGCTGTCATGCCTAAGAGGAAGCCTAGGATGGCCACCCTGATTTGGAATGCCGAATAGCTATGGAAGGAATATAGCAGATGCTGAGATTATCATCTGTCAGCTGTTCTTACTGGTCATGATGCTCTCTCCCTGATATACACAATGTACACTTAAAATCGCTTGAAAGAATTTCATTGTGCTATAATTGCTTTGCTTCTAGCTGAATCTGTACTGAAAGAAGCACAAATCACAGTAAACCAGCCTAATACAACTTCCTTGTCTTCTCCTGCCAAGGTAATAATATATCTATATATGATATATAGAGTAAACTTCTCAAATAGCAAACAGTGTCATTTTCTATTTCCTCTACACAATTGTCTCTTATCATTTACCTCTGAAACTTTTAAACACAGACACACTCAGAAGATTGAGTTGATTTTAACACAGGTAAACAGAACAGATGAATGCAAAGAAACAGAGAAAGCAAAGAATGCAGAGAAAATTCAGCAAGTGGGAGGAAGGCTGTGACTGAGAGCAAAGATGAATGAAACATGGGGTGAATCCAGAACAGTGGGAAGAGCATCAGAGCTCATTTCTTTAAAATGAAAAGTAATATGAGAAAAGTAGAAAATAATGAAAAGCCAGCAGATAAACTAGCCTATCAAATCTCCTTGAAAATATCTTTTCAAATTATAGCTCCCTATGGGCCTAAATAAATGGGGAGAACAAGAAGACAACTAATAAGCCATCTTTCTTTCTAGTGCTAGGAATTATGTACTGTAATTATGAATATTAATAACAGTGCTTCTAGCTTACAAAGCTCTTTCCTTATGAGTTGCTCTACACAGTTCATAAACATTCTCTGTAATCCTTGCAATATGCCCATGAATAAGATAGGTTATAGAGAATTATTATTATTAATTTTATTGCATGGCAACTAAGAGAAAGAGAATGTTGCTGAAGAACATCTAAGTTTGCTAACTTTTCCCAAAAATACAGCACAAAACTTTCTACCATGATGAATCAGTAAGAGACATATTCATTTGCTTGCATACAGAGGGATAAACAGGTATATGGAGAAAAACAAGCTTCACTTCACTTTTCCTTCATCCTCTTCCACAGACTCAGTATAATCCTGTCCATGATTTGCCTTAAAATTTTTAAGGGACAGGGCTGTGTCTGATAAAGAGCTCTGAACAGGGGATGAATTCAAAGAGTAGCATATGATAATGCCCCAAAGCTATCTGTGGCTTTCCCCAAATTCTCTTACTTTTTTCTTTTTGTTTTTTTTTTTTTTGAGAGGGCATCTCTCATATTTATTGATCAAATGGTTGTCAACAACAATAAAATTCTGTATAGGGGACTCAATGCACAGTCATTAATCAACCCCAAGCCTATTTCTCAACAGTCTCCAATCTTCTGAAGCATAACGAACAAGTTCTTACATGGTGAACCGTTTGTTTGTTTTTAAGTTAAAAGAAGAACTCTGTTTTTGTTATCGATTTTTAAAGAAAAATTTAAGTTTTTTTTTTAAGTATGTGCTTAAGAAATCAATTTCCTTGGCTTTATGTATTTGAGAGACAAGAGAAACAGAGTCTTTCTAAAGGGTCAGGACCTTGCTTTCTTCTTGCCTTTGCCCATTACCTCTGCTGCCTCTCTGCTCTGTGCTCTGACTACATGGACAGGAAGGGCGGAGAAGGTTTTGACCAGTTGGCTTTGATGCTCTGATGCGTGCTAGTTTCTTCAGCTCAGAGACGAGAGCAAAACAGATGACCTCCACTTTTGACCTCTTAAATTCCTCTAGGCAGTTGAGTAGTTAATTTGGAAGTGGAATACTTACCAATCATTTACTACTTTCTTTTATTTTAAAGTTGGTGAAAACTGTGTTCAGTCAGTGATGTACTATCAAATGAGATGCCCATCTTTCAGATCAGGTGGATGGAGCACATTAGTAGTCTATTAATATTTGTGAAACAATAATAATGCAATTTTTTCTTTCTGCCTGGTTAGAGGAAGCATGCTAGAGTAGGGTAGTTAATAAGCCAATATATTAAATGAAAAGAAGTGATAAGAGGGACAGATAGGCACTGGTACTGAGGCACTCAAAAGGGAGGAAGCTAAGGATGGGATCTCCCATAAAGGGAAACATTGGGGAATATTAGGGTATCTGGGACTTGATATAAAGGAGATCTTTTTTGGGGGTACTGACAAAATTTTTTAATAATAATTTTCTTCCTGAAAGAAGCCTTAGTGGTTGATCATGTGATTCAGAATTTTCTTTCTTCATAGACAAAAGTCAGAGTCTAGGGACATTGAGTGACTTTCCCTATCTTTCACATTAGTGGGCCTTTTTGTGTGAATTAATTGTGTGAAAGCCACTGCAACACTACAGGGAGTAATGGCTCTTTCTCTGAAAGGCTGAGAGGTCATCAGAATATGTGCAAAAGGAACTGTAGGCTAGAATTTGGTTGGTCTTCTTACTTCCTGGAACTTAATTGTTTACCAAGTATTTACTGAGTACACACCATGGTAGATGCATTAGGCAGTGTGACCTATCACTGTTACTTTGTAGAACATTTGGATAATAGGATAGCAAATAATAAGCTCAGTTTTTGTTAATTTAATAATAGCATTATGTTCTTTCCTGACAATTGTACTTCTCCAGGATATATTACAGAAAGCTATGAAAGATGTAGAAGCAAAGCGTAAGATTCTTAGAGAGAAACAGAGGTAAGATTTAAGATTTTCTGTTTGCCAGAATCCTCCGCACTGTGTTAAAACAAATTCTGATTTATGAGTAGGCAGATTGGGTGGTTACTGTGACAATTTCTCTTTCTCAGCCTGTGACATTTTATGAGATGAGGCATAGTATGGTCAAAATCCCCCAACCAGCATAATCAGTGTAAAATATTTGTAAATATATTTGCATTTACACATGTTTACATCCTGTGAAAACTTCTGAATGCAGAGTAAAAATTTAGTTCTGTGTCTGATTGGATTGAAGAACTGAACTGCCCGGAGGATCAACTGACTTTTCCTATGTTCTTTGCCATTTAAACTCTGGAGGGTTGGTCCCAACTTCTTCTCTATTCTAGTACTGCTTGAAATTTAAGATAGAAATATTTCAAGTAAATGTATCATTTACATTAAGTAAAAAATAGCAAGCCTATATGACAGAATTGTTATTTACATTTGTAAGGTTGACTTGCTGTCTAGCTCAGGTGTTAAGTTAAACCAAAAATAATCGCTATTGTTCAAGTAATGTCAGACTTTGAAAACTGTGATAACTTTGAGGAACAAATTTTTAGCAAAGTGTTACTAGTTTTTGGCATCTTTTTGGTGAACCATGAAGTGCTGTATAATCATAACTTTCCTCAAAACTTAAATTTGAAATGTTAATCATACATTTATAAAAATAAATATTAAATAAATATCAAGGAAATCTTCATTGAAAAGCCGAGACCTCTTTGAAGTCTTCAGAAAGAAAAGGCTGGTTGATGACCTGTTTATAGTCACGATGATATGCATGCAAGGTGACCAACCTATATTTGATTAATAATGATGCCAGCTGATGTGAACTTGTTTTTGTAGCAAACTACTTAAAAAAAATTTGGAAGACAATCAGTAAAGTATGCCACTTAATATCACAGAGTGATTATGTCATATCACTCCCTTTTGGAACCCTTACATACTCAGTATTCATTTTTGTTGAAGAGGGACATCTAATTACTAATTAGGCATTTTGAGAAAAAGTTTGATTCATATATATTTAACCTTACCTGTACATGCATTTAAAAAATGCATGATATATTAATCCATGTCAGTAACTCACTCAGAAAGTCTGATGTACTATCCACAAAGAAGGACTGATAGAACTTTATCATTGTCCTTTANATATATAATCAATCTAGTAGGTATGTTATGTCAGTTGTAATGACACATGGTCATGAATTTGAAAAGGAAAAGCTGTTTTTGTGGGATGAGGAGCTATAAGATGGGTGGAGGGGAAGAATTACAGTTGGCACCATTCTTGGTTGGGAAAGGAAAACAACATTTGTTATTTATTCCAGGTTTGTATGTTATATTTAACATTATCTCTTTTAGCCCTCACAGCATTCCAAGTGGCTAGGTAGGTATTATTCTTGCTTTTCAGATGAGACAGAAATTAAAGTGATTTATCTGTAGTCAGACAGTTATTCCAAAGACAAGCTTGAATTTGGAGCCAGGTCCATGTTTCTGGTTGTCACATCCAGGTACTTTTCAGAGCTCCAAGCAGCCTCTTGTTACTGTGATTGTTTCTGTCATACTCCGCTATGTCTCAATTTCTATTTTTATACTATTAATAGAAAAGTCACATAAAACATAGTGCAGCAGGACAGAGTCAGAAAAATAGAAGCTTACATCTGCTGCCCTTGTAAACTTACTTTATTAACTTTGATTTTAGAAAAAGAAACCTAAAGAATGTCTTTTGTCAGATTCTGATCTATGTAGAATATTTGGAGGCCTGAGACCATTCTGAAAGTTAGAGATCACACTCAATGTTAGAAATATCCAAATTTTAAAATAGCCAAGTAATTACTTTTCAGAATACTGCAGTGTACATAGTAGACCAGTTCACATTTCACAACTCTTTTGGGCATTTTCTAGTTTTATAAATTGAAATTGGCAACTTGCTTTTGGATTGAGGAATGTTTGTGTTTGACTGATATAGTTATTGGTCATCATGTTTATGCAAAATACTTGCTATCCAGAGATACTCAGTGTAGGGACTTGGTTTTGCAGAATACCTGGATATTTTATATGTAATTCCTTTGATGTGTACCTTCGAGTTAAATTATTAGCAGTTTTTAAACTGTATATTTTATTTAATAAAACCTTTTTTTAAAACTTTTCTAAATATAATGCTAGAGAATTAAGAAAAGCAAGGACACTTTCCCTGTTCTTTGGAGTGAACATAGAAAACCGAAGCCAAGCTGGGATGTTCATTTACAGTAATAACCGCTTGATCAAAATGCATGAGAAAGTGGGCCCACAGTTGAAACTGAAGTCCTTGTAAGTATGTTTTTGTTTTCAGAGGCATAGGCAGGACAAGGGAGGTTGTACTAAGACTGTGGAGTTAGATGAATGACTAATCATAATGGGAGCAGGTGTCATATCCTCCGTTTACCCTTCCCATCAAGGTGCAGGCATTAATCTGCCTGATTTATAGTATCAGTAGAGCTGCATGCCTGCTCTAAGGAAAAAGCACAGTTCCGGAAATATTTTCAGAGCAGTTTCTGAGCAGTTTGATGTTTTACCATTCCTTGTGTCACCTACTTAGATTAAGTTTTAAATATTTTACCAATTGAAAAATAGTACAAGCATAGTAAAGGAATTTTAGAAAAGAAAAGCCCATAGTCTTGTAAAGCAACCCTGTTAAGATTTTGTGCAGCACTACGTGTTTGAGTTCTTGCTAGTTACCTGCCTGAGTGTGTATTATTAACACTCCAGCCTATTTATATTTCAGAGTAATACATTCTGGTGCATTTCCAGTGGTCTGAAACTCTACAAGCTGCTTTCATGAATTATGTAGAGTCTTGAGGAAAGACCTAGAAAGTTAGAGTCAGGATAACTGTGACGGGTAGAATGGATCAGAGGAACATATTTCATCTTGCTTTCTCACTTCCAAACAATTAGTAGTTCATTCATTTATTCATTCAGTAAGCACTTACATTGCAGTATCATGGGTCAGGCATTGTACTAAGCTCTAAAGACAAGATGGTGAAGACCTACTGCCCTTTGCTAAGAAGCTTACACTCCAGTGAAAATACAAATGTATAAATATGTATTTTTTATATTGTGTGGAAACAGCAGGAATGATCTTTTAAAACAAAAATTAGTTTACTCTTTTAAAATTCCAGTGCATATAAGAATAGAACTGGTTACCACAGTCATGCAGTGATCTGACCTCTGCCTGGCTTTGTGACATCTTCCGTCCCTCTCACTGCCTTTCCTTCCCACCCCCAGCTTCCTGTTTCTCAGACATCCTAGACTGGTTCCTGCTTTACAGCCTGGCACTTGCCATTCTCTCTGCCTTGAACCTTCTGTCCTCAGTTCTTACTGCTGGTCCTCCTAGCGTGGTACTCAGGTACTGCCTCTAAAGTCCCCTCCACAGGAAGGTCTTCCTGGCCTACCTATTTAAAATTAGCCCCTGCTGTTACCCTCCCTCCACCTTATTACTCTTCACTTATTATAGCATCTGCTTTATTTCTTCATACCACTTAGCACCACCTGAAATGATCTTGTCTCCCTTAATGCCTGACACCTTCAATAGAAGAGAAACTTCATTAGCAGGGATATTGTCTTTCTTGTTCATTACTGTATTCCTAGTTCTTGGGATAGATCTAGGTGCTGAGCATGAATGAATGAATGAATGAGTATTAGAGTCAAGCATCAGGTGAAAAAAGAGCATTTTGGAGAGTCAGTAAACCATACTATGGGAAGTTAAGTCATTCCTAGGAGAAATGTTGCCCAGATTTAGATTTATAGAATGAATAGTGAAGGGAGAGCAGGGTGGAAGGGGAAGGTGGAAAAAAACATGATAAACAGCAGCCCCAAATTAGGAAGGCTTGATTTATATGCCATGCTAAGGGCAACAGGGAACCACTGAAAAGCTAGGCTCCTAGAAGTTCTTTCCCAAAACAGGTTATGACACTGAGTAGAATATCCCAGCTACATATGTCATGAACTGCTAAACATGTGGAAAAATACCCAAATTTGTTCATCAGGCTAACAGGAATATTACCTGTTAATTTCTGGGATAACCTGGCCCTTATATTCCCTTGGTGGAATTGACTGAGTACCCTCTGTATCTCTGCAATGATGGGGAGACACCCAGCCTGACAGATGAAATGAAGATAAAGAAAGTGACTTTCCAGCCAATATCATTTAGAGGATCATGTCAGTTTTATTGCATCAAGGCATTGTTTGTGGTGTTTAATGCTAAAAGGCCTTCTCTTCCCACCCAACCTGACTCCTTATGTAAGGTTACTGGTTTAGAAAATGAAATATATTAATTCAGTAATGATGTATTAGTAAGAGGTTTTGCATTACAGACCAAACATACCTGGAATTGCCATAGATTTAACAAAATATAATTATAAGATAACTTGTTAAACTTTGACAGAATCCAGACCAAGTGAATGAATTTTTTAAAAAATTGATTTTAAAAGACCTGGGTATATTTGCTGTTTCTTTTTCCTTAGCTAAATTTCACAAAATTTGTGAGTGTATCTGTTCCCCCAGACTTGGTGACGGTGTGGTTGGAATTGTTAATATACCCTTGGAGATCATGGAGCCATCCCATAATAAGCAGGGATTTTTCAATGTCCAAGAATATAATCACCTACTGAAAGTCATGGGACAGTACTTGGTCCAGTACTGTAAGGACACTGGAATCAGTGAGTATTCAATAATCTTAGTAAGAGATGCTCAATGGGGCATCCACCTGTGTGTGCTTTTTTTAAGCTGAAATGATTGTACTGCTTCAGGTAACCAGTAAGCCAAGGCCCTGGTAGAGAGCTCCCACAGTAGGAAAAAAAAAAAGAAAATGAGAAGGAAGCCAGTCTCAGATATTTCTCAGAATATTATGTGAAAAATAAAGAAGCAGATAAAAAAACGTCAAGAGGAGGGCAGTCAGAAAGCAGTATGACATGGCAGCCGATCACTGAGGAATGAGGCAGAAGTTTGTTCTAAATAGGCTGAGAAACCCTCAAAGGACACTCCGAGACTCTATCTGATAGTCCCACATAGACCTGAGTAGCTCCTATAGCTTTGTTATTATACCATGCCATAGAATAATCATTGTTGTCCCTGGAATATTGTGGAGATGTCAAACTTTGTTTTGTGTAACTAGCAAGTCTTGAATATGTTAATTCCAGAAAGATTACAATTAAAAGTCACTAAAATAAATATGTTTGGAAACTTAAAAAGATAAACTTCAGTTATCTGGAAAATTTGGCTTATTCAGATCACCTCACCCTCCGGAGATACCTGAACAATAAGATGAAGTGCTGTGTATTAATGCAACAAACTTCTTTTAAGCTGTGCGGACATAGGGCTTCACTGATGGAAAGAAATAGACAAGCTACTGTATATTTGTTCAGTGATTTGCATGAAGTATGTATAATTCATGCATATCAAAAATTATATCTCTACCCTTGAGACAACTTAAAATCTTATTACTCCACTTGAAATTGTAATTTTAGAATATTTTCTTTTGTAGCCACTCTGCTTGGTCCTAAAATTTTCTCATTCCAGTGAAACAGAAAAGAGTGCAGGAACTCAGGAAAAAAAATAAAGGTGGGAATGAGGTGAAGGTACAGGTTTACTGGCAAAGCTGGATTTTCATGTCATGGTGTAAAACCTACTCAGAGTGTGATCTGTGGAGGCATCCTCAGCGTCGCCTGAGAGATTGGTAGAAATACAGAATCTCAGGCCCCACCCAAGACCTAGTGGATTAAAATCTGCCTGTTATCAAGATCTCCAGATGATTTGTTTGCATGTTAAAGTGGGAGAAAACACTGTTGTGAAGAGTGTATCCATGTAGTTTTTGCTTAGCATAGACATTTTGTTCACATTTATTTATTTATATATATTTTTATTAAGGTATTACTGATATACCATCTTATGAAGGTTTCACATGAAAAACATTGTGATTACTACATTCACCCATATTATCAAGTACTCCCCATACCCTACTGCAGTCACTGCCCATCAGTGCAGTAAGATGCCACAGAGTTACTACTTGTCTTCTCTGTGCTACACTGTCTTCCCTGTGATCCCCCACCCCCACACCATGTTCACATTTATTTTTGTCTCAGAGACATGTTTGAAGCTATACTAAGCATAGGAATGACTACATTACTTGGCAGGGTTTGCTTAAAGCTGTAGAAAACAAAGGAATATGCTGAGTGAAGTATAAACAAGGAACTGCTGCCTGGTCTCTGAGTGTTAGTGTGACAGGGTACAAAATGAAAACATTACGAATTTGAAAATTGTGGAACTTCCTCATTCTCCTCATGTTTTCTCTGTAATCCCTCCCTTGTTTTGTTCATCCTTAAAACAAGGAATTAAGTACTCAAGAAGAGTTAGGCATTAAATTTAAAGGTGACCGTAATTGCCTCCACCCAGCCCACACTTACTGAGGACAGCTATAGTCAGTACTGTTTGTGGGGGAGCTCTCCCTAAGTTCCTTTCCTGGTGTGTGGGGCCTCTCTCAGCAACTGTACTCTGAACTCTAGGATGTCACTTGCCAGCCTTTCCCCTCTTTAACTCCATGTCCTTGTCTTATCTACCTAATTTTTTTCGAAGCAGTCTTACTAGATGAGGTAAGATTAAAAATAAATGTTGTATTTGTATTTTAATTATAGCTAGTTAATAACACACAGTTTTCCTAATTCCATAATCGTCTGTGAATTGATTTAAAGCTAGAGTATATTCTCACAAAGAATGTTTCTCTGGAAGGAAAGCAGAGAGTGGAGAATGGATAGTGAACATGTGTATTTGTTCACATCTCACAACCTCATCCCCAAACTTCATAGTCAAACTGAATCAAGTAATCAAAGTTGGAATTGATATTCTGTGGTACTGTGCTGACGGTCAAGGTCTTCGCTTATTAATCTCCACAGAAATAATCAAAGTTATGTAATGCTTGACTAATCCTCTGAAAGCCAGTATTACAGGACACACAATTTTAATGAAAAGCATTTGGGCAGATTTTTTGCCTTATAAATAAAAGATGCAATTTTTGTATTTGCTGTAAATCTGATCTGTTTCTATGAAAAATCAGGCCCTTGTAGAAATCGAATCTGTGGAAAGGGAAATGGAGAGGTAATGACTCTGTGTCATTTATCAAATTTGCATTTACTTTTGGCACAGTTGATGCTAAGAATCTCAGAAATATTTTTCTCTGAGTCTGACCTCACTCAGCCTCCTGTGTTTTCTGAAGCTTAGGCATCCTTACAGTAAAATGGAAGTATTAATCATTGGCTTTTTGGAATAGGGAGAGCAGGAGAAGGAAAAGATAGAAACATCAAATGAGATTTGGGTTTGAACAGAGGCAATTAGGTACAAGTTTATGACTAAACTTTTCCGAAATGGATCAGAATACAACTGAAGTGCTAAAATGAAATCTAATGTGTAACAAGAATAACCTTTCCCAGCAGAACTCATAGGGGCTAGGTTGAAATCATTTAAGAAAGTCACCTCCCTGATGCTTCAAGCCCCTCTACCTCACTCACCCCTGCTCTAGGCAAGTGAGCTGCCATTTTAAGCCTGAGCAAGAGTTTCCCATGAAATAAAAATAGCTATTTCTTGAGGTAGTCCATCAATCTCTGCACAACTGTATTGGGGTATTCATTTTTTCATATTAATGTCAAATCTATTTCTCATATGTTCTTTCATTCATTCACCTGTGTAAAGCATGGAGTGTTGTAGGACTAACAAATTATATGTGGTCCACCATCTCCAGAAATTTGCAGTCTAGCAGAGCTAGCCATTTGATAATTAGAAATAGGATTGGTGCCTAACAATGGGTGCTACGGAGGCCAGTGATCAGAAACTCACTGTCTAGACCAGAGAAGGTCTCCTTTAGAATGTGATATTTCCTGAAGGATAAGGAGGAGTTAGCCATGCCAACTTAATTTTTCCCCTTTAGGGTCATGAAGGACAGGTCTAAAGGCTTTCCAAATGACAGCCCTCCGGATATTTGAAGATTAGCTTTCTGTCTCTCTTCATCTTGTTTTACCCTAACATTTCCAAGTTCTGTTGCTGTTCTTCATTTGACATGGCATTAAATATATTAACCATTTTAACATTATACTTTATAAAAGTATATCATCTAGAAACAAAAATTCCAGATGAAGCCTGAACAGTCTTGAATAAATAGGATCATCATCTCTTTCTTCTAAATCATTGTAATTCTGTGGATGTGGTCTAATATAGTGACTCTGAGTAAGCATATTATTGACCCTAAGTGTCTTTATTACCAATTAAAATTCTTAATAACATTTTTAGTATGTGTTCTTATTAAGCCATACCTCTTGTATTTTTCTTGTGTTTTTGAACCCTAGTATGGAATCATACATTTATTCTTATTATATAATATCACCTTATTAGGCCTTTTCTTTCATGTTGTCAGGACCTTTTTTTGGATCTAATGTTGACTCTAAGTAATGTGTTATTTTTCCCAGATAAGCTTGGCCAGTACTTTCTCTATAATTTCATTTAAATCCTGTTCAAAAGTTTTAAAATAAAAATCAAACACTTGACCTTCCACCTATGACTTCCACTGAGGTAGAAATGGAACTCCGGGTGAGGACAATTAACCAAATTACACATCTTCCTAATTATCCTAACCTAACACATATTGATTGCCAATATTTGTATATAATTTTGAAGGTAAGGGTAATATTTTTGGATGAATAGTTCCTTTTAAAAATAGATAATTTTTATATCTTGGTCACTTTGGGCTGCTGTAACAAAATACCATACTGGTATTGTATAATGATAGCATAAACTTTTTTCTTACAGTTCTGGAGGCTGGAAGTTCAAAATCAGAGTGCCAGTATGGTTGGGTTCTGATGATAACCACTTCCAGTTTGCAAACTGCTTGTATCCTCACATAGTAGCAAGAGAGTGAAATAACTCTCTGGCCTCTTCTTTTTATAAGACTACTAATTCCATCATGAAGATCTCCACTCTTGTGGCCTAATTACCTTCCAAAGTCTCCACTTCCAAATATCAATACATTGGGGATTAAGTTTCAACACCTGAATTTTAGTGGGGGACACAAAACATAACATTCAGTCAATAACATTCTAGTAGCTAGATACGGCTAGTTGCTCAAATTTTATTTCCCTTATGATGTACTTCAGTCTCTAAGATCTCAGAAAGTCACTACAGGAAAAATAAATACAACAAAATAAATACAACATCTGCTAGGGATATGCATTTAGTGAGGAAATCTATGTAAATATTAAAAAGTGAGACAATGAGACACATTTATTTGAAGACGTAGGCTGAGAGACAATTCACCTCTTTTGTAATTCAATTTTTGGAGTTACAGAGTTTGTATTATTTTATTTTAAAAATATTGTATTTTTAATATTTCATTTTATTAAAAAATTTTTCATTATGGTGTGATGGCTGAATTGTGTTTCCTCTGAATTCATATGTTTTAATTCTAACTCCTGGTACCTCAGAATATGACTGTATTTGGAGATAGGACTTTAAAAGAGGTAATTATGTTCAAATGGGACTGTTGGTTCAGGTGGGCCCTAATCCAGTCTGACTGGCGTTCTGATATGAAGAGGAAATTTGGATCCACAAAGAGACATCAGGGACGGGGGCATAGGGAGAAAAACCTGGGAGGGAACAGCAGGAAGGTGGCTGTCCACAA